TTTCAGCTGTCTTTACCATGAACTAAGCACACCCTTAGAATGTAGTCATAGAGACATATCTGGTACCATTTTTCCTTAAACTTTTGACCCTAAAGGCAAGGGCTGTTTTTATGAAGATACATGTAAACAACATGAAGAATATCCAACAACAGAATAGTTTGCATTAGAAAGAGAGGAATAAAGATATTGAGGAAGAAACACAAATGTAAAGAGCTAAGGAAGGCAAAATAGGAAGATGAATAGGATAAACTGATAGATGTATAGGTCATAAGTGAAGGAATCTGAATTTCCAGAGACTCTATGTATTTTTCTATTTGTTTTGGTTTTCCTCTACAGAATTCTAATTAAGAAAATGGTCAAGTTTGATATGCATATAGTACACTGACTCCCGAAAATTACAAACATTGATTTATGTCATTACTTCTGTTGTGATTATGAATCCCTAACTTCCTTTTACAGTCTGATTAAACGTCACTTACCATATCACAAAATGGCAGAATGATTGTTTGAAAAGCATTTTGTGCTCCATCATAATAGCACATTTTATATAGAATAATTGTAATTAAGTAATTGTAGTGTATGGTTCTATTTTTTCAAAAGTCAGAAGTAGTGTTAAAATATTCAGCCCTGCTATGCATATGGTAAAAATCTAAAAAAGTTAAAAACTTTTTCCTTTTTGTGAAAAAAATTGAAAAAGAATATAGTGATCCATTATTTGTTAGACATGCGTTATACAAAGCAGCTGTTTTTTTACAGAACATTTCATTTCTACCAGTGCTATCTTTTTAATTCAGCTCATTTGTGGATTTCAACAATGCCTGAAAACTTGCTTTATTTCACCAGTATTTCAGACTCCTCATTAAAATTAGCAATATTCATGGTGTGTCTCTGAAAATAAAGTTTTGCAAGATTCGAGTTTTATGGTCATTAAGGTATTTTTTTTCTCCCACTGGGAAAAATAATCAATTGTTTAACTTAACAGAAGCTATAATGGCAAAGTTGATCTGTCCTGCTGTTGAAATTATTAAACAAGAAAAAAGAAGAATTAATAGCTCAAGATTCAACTGAGATTTGGTGCTTTTCTTCATAGAAGCATTTATTACCTTATTGATAAATAATGTGCTCTGCATGTAAATGTTACATTATCCATTTCCACGCCTCACTTGATTCAAGTGCTCAACTCCCTAATTAGGCATCTGTTAAACAATGAAACTTTGTTTTCCTGCTCATAATATTGGTCTCTTTACTAATGTAGCTTGAATAATAACAACTTCTTTCTCATGAGAGATTAAGTTGAATGCTAATGTGTCAAGAAGGAAAATTCAACATTTATATTATATTAATTGCTAGAGTATGTGAATATGGCATTGTTATTATATAAAGTTACATATTTTAATATACAATAATGGAAATCAAAACAGTAATTTTCAGCACAGGAAAGATTGTATTAACATCATAGGCATCATTTTTTTAACTGTTGATTTTATATGGCCTCATTTTGAGGTAGACCATTTATCATTCTTCTTTGCTTTATCCATAAATATGCACATTGATATATATATATGTATATATTGTGAATATATTGATATATTCTGATAAGTGAAAGGTAATTTTCTCCTTTGTAAAATTTGCAATATTAAAAAAATACTTATTGAACTTTGTCATTAGCTTTACTAAAATGCTGTTCAAGAGAAACAATCAAATGAAACGAGTTATGAACCACTTTGAGCTCTTGTGAGTTAAAGTGATCAATAAGCCCAGTAACCCACACCAAAAGTAATAAAAGCTTTTATTTGTCTGCTGTAATAGTGGGGTAAGGGATAAAAACATTAACCAGCTTTCTGATAATTCACTGACACAAGAAGCAGCAGCAGGTGTGGGCATAAGAAGTCATCTAGTTGCCCAGGAGCCTCAAACAAAAGTCTATTCCCTACTTATGGACTGAAGAGGTTAAGAGAAGTGAAAGGGGAAGACAAAGACTAGAAATTACTAAGTCAGAGTCTAGGAAAGTGTCATAGTCAAGGTCCTGCACTAAGAAGGTCTTGGCAGAGGTGCCTACATAGAGCCTTAGCTGAATCTTCATGTTGGAAGCCTCCCTATGGAGACACCTGGGCTAGGGCTACCCATGAGCATGCCCACTTGGTCTGGAGGAACTTGAATTTTGGACAGCAACTCTCTCCAGAAAATCACAGTGCACTGACTGTGTACCAGTGTGGTATTGGGATAGCAGCTCTCCCCAAGGGCCTTTCAGGCAAAGTCTGTAATTGCCTTTGGTCTGGCCTGAAAGGTCACACATCGGGTTGGGATTTGGACTTGGAAATGGACTCCTCCAACTGATAGTGTCAGATTCAAATGCTTTCCATAGCTGTGAAGCCCTACAGAATTCACAATTGGCATAGCAGAAGCTGACATTTCTATTTTTCATCACCCAAATTGAAGTTCAATTCAAACTTTCTATTTTATAAAAACAGAAGGTCCAGGGCCAGGGATTTAGCTTAGTGGTGCAGCGCCTGCCTCACCAGTGCAGGGTCCTGAGTTCTATCCCCAGTACTGTAAAAAACAACAAAACAAAAAAACAAAATCCAAACAAACAAAAAAACCCCAAAAACAACAACAGGAAGAACAACAACAACAAAATACCCCAGAAGGTCCATTTTCTATATTGTTGAATTTGGTATCAGTAGATTAAAATGAAATATGACTGTTATTTTAATGTTCATGGAATGCCTGACCTCAGACGCCATAGCATGTGACATTTACTATGTGGATGAAATACTATCTCAACCTGTGACTGACTGGTTTCTTGGATTGGAATTTATTGCAGCAATGGGTATAGTTTCACTGAAAGACAAAGAATCTTTTTTTTTTTTAAGGTGAAGCACAGTGAAGAAAAAAGTACTGTCTACAATGATGGATATATAGTAGCAATAATGAGAGCAGGATTATTGTTGAGGTGGTCTTTGAAATTGTTATTCGTTAAACTGTACAAAAAAATGCAATAAAGACTTCTGACTAAAGTAATTTTTCCATTATAGAAAATTTTCTGACAATGCTGAAAAGTAATAAAGAGGCAAAAAGCAGTGTTGCTCATCTTCAAATAATTTTTGAAAAAGTAATGGATAAACAGAGAATCTGTAATAGCTGCAAATCCAAACAAATATTTCCTTACCAAGAAATCAAAGCATTTTAGCTCTTTCCCATCTTGCGCCATGACAAGTGAAAAAGCTGAGAAGCCCAATCCTAAAGAGGAGAAAACTGAAGCCAAGAAGGCTGATGCCATTGCCACAATTAGAAAGGATAATGTGAAGAAGGCTAAACAGTCCAAGAGACACTGTCCTGGTTAGAGGAATTGGTGGATATTCCCGACCTGCTATGTATTCCAGAAAGGCTCTGTACAAGAGCAAGTACTCTGCTGCTAAATCCAAGGTTGCGAAGAAAAAGAAGGTTCTTGCTACTGTCACAAAACCAGTTGGTGGTGACAAGAATGGCAGTACCCTGGTGGTTAAGCTTTGAAAAATGCCTAGATACTGCCCTACCGAAGATGTGCCCCAAAAGCTACTGAGCCACGGCAAAAAACCCTTCAGTCAGCACTGGAGGAAACTGCGAGCTAGCATCACTCTCGGTGCCATCTTGGTCGTCCTCACTGGGCGCCACTGAGGCAAGAGAGTGGTTTTCCTGAAGCAGTTGGCCAGTGGCTTGCTACTTGTGACTGGGCCTCTTAACCTTAATCAACTTCTTCTGTGTAGAACACACCAGAAGTTTGTCATTGCCATCTCCACAAAAATTGACTTCAGCAAAGTGAAAATCCCCAAACACCTCACTGCTGCTTACTTCAAGAAGCAGCAGCTGCGGAAGCCCAGACACCAGGAGGGTGAGATCTTCAACACCGAGAGAGATACCAGATTTCAGAGCAGCGCAAGGTTGATCAGAAAGCAGTGGACTTGCAGATTTTACCAAAAATCAAAGCTGTTTCTCAGCTGCAGGGCTACATGCGACCCCTTTTTGCTTGGACAAATGGAATGTACCCTCACGAATTGGTGTTCTACATTTCTTACTAAAAACCTAATTAAATAACTGATATGTTGAAAAAAGAAATCAAAGCATTTTATCAAATAGTTTCCATTCCTTTTTAGATTAGTTTTTTGTCTTTTATGCAAAAAAATGCTATATAGAGCAATGAGGACAAAATATGTACAGAATAATTAATATTTGTATATATTATAAAAAACCCCTACAAATACATGTCAGTTCTAATCCTTGAAAAATGCTGTCCATTAAGTTTTGATTAAGTAATATTTTTGTTCTCACTTTTAAAATCTATCTTAAGTTAGAATTTTCTTTGTATTATCACAAGATACAAATAGGGCCCAAGCAAAGTATTGAATTCATCACAAAATTATACACATGGAATACATATGTCATGAAAGGATGTGGTACATAGACATAGTATGTCCTTTCACAAAACCACATAACTCAGTGACATGATCTTCAGCCTGGGAACCAGGTACATATGTTTGCTATTTTTCTGGTGCCACTGGGTGTCCACCTGTCTTGTCAAGTGACACAGGGCATTAATTTGTAACCATTGTACAGTTAAATTCACTGAAGGAGTCCAGTTATTATTGGCAGCATGAGAATAATAATATGAATGGCTTTGGAATTATGTAGGAATGTTTAGAATCAATTTTAAATTAATTAGATATTTTGCAGAAAACCGAGTCATTGATACAATATATTTTTCTTAATTAGATATAAATGTTACTAAATATAGAACAACATATCAGGATTCAAGCTTACTTGGATTATCACAGGCTATAGTTCTTTGTGTTCTTGTTCTCAAAATAATTTGGTTGTGCCTAAAATTTTCAACATTCCTCTCAGTTACTTCACACCTCATTTATAAAATAGTTGTGTTACTTATGATCTTGTAGTTTCAACAAATGTAAATAGTACAAACAACTGTAACAATGATTTATTATCATATAGAATCAAAAGGCTGTTTTTCAAATACATCTGCTTACACAGTAATTTGAATTATCATAAATATATTTATAAATCTGGAGTTGTAGTTACAAAATAGAACTAAATCCATATTGTCTTATCAAATGCAATATGGATGCTTAAAACAAAGGCTCCATTTAGAGCAGAGAAAATCACATTCTTGTCCTGATTCCTGTATTTATTTTGCCGGAACATTAACCATGTTAAAATGACACTGACAGTTCTGCAACAATTTGTGTTGTTCTGCTTACACATTTTTGGTTCTCTAAACAGGCAAATGGCTTCGCAAATTACATGGGTCTTCTTAATGCTAAGTCGAAGACAATTTCTTGTTGGAATGAAATTCTTTGATATTTGAATTGAAGATCTGATGTAAACAAGCACAGGGTTCTACGAATGATAAAGCAAAATTCAATTAGATTTTTCTTACTCGTTTCATCTTCTCAGCTTAATCAAATTTGTGAAATTGTAGAACTTTTTTAGAGTTATAATATGTTACAAACGACTTTAAGTATACTGGGACAGAATCAGGACTATGATCTTGAAATGAAAATTGCTAGACTACTTCAGCTGTTTGCTGAGAATATATTGCTTCTATTTCATCTATTCTATGTCCTACAAGCATCATGAAAGTCACGTGCTAGGTTGCAGAAAAGCCTACTTTCAAAGACAGAAAAATAAGGATTCCATAGCCAAATAATAATATCACTGTGTTTTCCACCTTTTGGTTTTCCTAGAGAGTTTCACCTTGGGTTGTACATACATATAAACTAAAGGGTGATCTCCCATTATGTGGATTTGAATAATACACATTTATGTATACAATCGATACAGCTATAATCCATTTTCTTAATTCATTGTGACATAGGATCTCAGGCTTGAAAATATATGTTGAGTATTTCTGGCTTTGGTAATGTGGTAAAATAAATAATGTAACTCCACTCCCTGACCCTGGCCTCCAAAAACATACTGACTCTGCCTAGCAATGTGGGATAAAGTTTAAGAAAACTTTTCACAATGAAGAAAAGGGAACCCCCAGGCAACAGAATCAAAACTAGGACTTAAATGTACAATGTAAGATAAAGAGCTGGCTGTAGCCCTGCATGGAGATCTTAGTATTTGCTGTAACCCGAGTAACGACTTAAGGTTGGGACTCCCACTCAGAGCTGAGGCCTCAAAGACTGCACTCATGGGAAATGGATGCACATAGGAGGTTGCTTGTGCAATACGAATATGATGAGGAAGCCACTATATCCTCATGCATCTAGGTGAGGAAAAGTATTTTGAGAATTCAAAACAATAGGCCTGCATCGACTGGTACTTGGTTCAGTTTACTTTAACAGCATGGTTCTCGAAACCCTTCAGAAATAATTTAACTATAAACTTAAGGCAGTTGTAGGGGTAGGATACTTGGAAGGAGCCTGGCCACAATAGTTTTTTTTTTCCCCCTATTAAGTTTATTGGTACATTTTTGGTATAAAATACAGTTATATTCATCATTGGGATCTTGTACCATTACATGAGTTTCTTGGTTCTTATTTTTTTCCCCTTCCCTTGCCCTCCCTTCCCTATTTGCAAAGACCTTGTTTCCATTTTTTTTCCTCTTCTCATATTTTTTCTTTTCTCTTTTTTCCCTTCCCCTACCCCTCCCAATTCCCCTGCTCTTTTAGACCTTTTCTTCCTGTTACACAATATCAGTGATACATTTTTAAAATTACAATATAAAGATC